AAGTAGGAAGTTTCCTTTATTGTATTTTTCTTTATTTGTTGTTGTATTTCCCCTCCATTGTGGCCTATATATACACATGCATATGGCCATTGTAAGAGGCATGGATTGAATAAAAACTTCTTTGTTTTACTCTTTGAGTAATTCTTTAAAATAGTGTGATGCTATTTTAACCAAATTTCCTAATGAAATATCTCTAAAGTTGGCTACTTTTGAGTGCGTGTTATGAGTCTAATTTTATACATTAGTAGTGATTATTAATGTGTAAAAGAAGATAAAAGCCCCAAGTTAAGATAAGAGTGTGTCATATCTCTTAACACCAACTTGGTTTATCCCTTCACTTTATATCTGTCCATTTCATTCCTCACCATTTCTTCTTCTTAAACTTATTCTTTTCTCTCTTTAAAAACACCAAAAAGAACTCTTTTCCACACTCCATATTTCACCCCCTCAATTCCATCATCCATTTCCTTCCGCAAATCCGCCATAAAATAGCTACTCGATAAGACCCCGGGTCTCGGGTACAACAAAAAGTGCCGGGACAGCACACGGGCTAAGACTTTCTCTCACGAAGCCCTTAGCTAACAACTCATCAACTTGTCGTTGAATTTCCTTCGTTTCTTCGGGGTTCATTCGGTATGCTGGTTTGTTGGGTAGGGCAGCCCCCGGAATGAGGTCAATTTTGTGTTGGATGTCTCGTTTAGGAGGGAGACCATGTGGAACATCATCGGGGAAAACATGGGCATATTCTAGGATGATAGGCTCGGCTAAGGGATGAAGCTGTTGTGGGTAGTTTGATGGTTCAGCTTCTCCATCTTCTAATAGGATCAAGTCTTTAATCCCATTGAATTCATGTTGTTCCGCTTGAAGGATAGTGGAGATAAGAACGGGAGGTTGTTCTTTGGTTGGTTTGGCCGTGGGTGTAGGAGGAGGTAAAGGGGTAAGGGTGATCTTCTTCTCATTCATCAACAATGAATAAGTCTTGGCATAACCATCATGTTGCACACGGTGATCAAACAGCCATGGTCGTCCCAAGAGGATGTGGCAAGCATCCATCGGGATGATATCACACCACACGTCGTCTTTGTACGTGCTGCCAATACTCAAGGAAATGAGACTTTGTGTGTCAACACGTAGACCCTTGCCATGATTCAACCATTGAATCGTATATGGTTTCGGGTGTGGTGACGTCTTCAAACGCAGCTTGTCTACCATGGTTTTGGAAGCCACATTGGTGCAACTTCCACTATCGATGATGAGGGAACACACCTTCTTTTGGACAGTACAACGGGTGTGGAATATGTTTTCCCGTTGTAGTTGTTCCTCGGGGCATGCTAGAGTGCTCAACGTCCTTCGGATGACCAAGAGTTCGCCATCATCGGGACCTACGTACTCATCTTGTTCTTCCACATCTTCCTCAACCCAATTTGGGTCAAAGTCTTCTTCATCACATTCGACAATGGCCATCACCTTCTTATTAGGGCATTCATTGGCGTAGTGACCTCGTCCTTGGCACCGAAAGCAAATAGGTGCTTTCTTGGTTGGATCAGCCCGGGGTGTGAAAGAGGAGGAGGGGTTTCTTGAGGTAGATGGGGAGCAGGAGGAGGGGTTTGTGCCGTGGGAAGTAGTGAGGTTTTTGGGGGTTGTGTAAGGTAATTTTGGTGAGGGGTAAGGTGGTTTGGATGTCGAGGAGTAGGGTCGTGGGAAAGGGGTAGTATTTTTGGAGTAAAGGGCTTTGGATTTCTTATGTTGAACTTCAACTTTGAAGGCCAACTTCGTGAGTTCTTCAAGAGAGTCGTAACTTTGCAACTCCACCGTGTTGGCTATTTGCAGGTTTAAGCCAAATAGGTAACGAACAAAGGTTTGTTCGTCATCTTCTTGCAAGTCACATCTCAGCAAGAGCTCTTCAAACTCTCGGTTGTATTCTTCAACGGACTTAGAACCTTGCCTAAGCATTTGAAGTTTAGCAAAATTCTCCCGAACATATTCGGCGGGTAAAAACTTCTTTTTTAGAAGGGACCTCATTTTTGCCCACGTGGATACCTGTTCTTTGTCATTTCTTCTCCTCTTGGTGCACGTATTAGTCCACCAAGTTGATGCATACTTCTGGAACTTTAAGGCCACTATCTTGACCTTCTTTTCATCGGAAACATCTTTGAAGTCAAAGACGCGTTCCACTGTTTCTAGCCACTCGAGGAACTCGTCCGGGTCGTTCTTCCCTTCAAAAGTTGGAATGTCAACTTTGAAGTCAGAACCTTCAGTGGCTTTAGGCTTCATGGTTCCACTAGAACTAACGTCTTCTTCACGGTCACTTCCTTGGAGCTCGTTGAGTTTCATCTTCGT